TGATTCCAATTTGACCTCATCTCGTTCTTGCGTGACACGCTGCAATTCTTGTTTCAGACTGCCTCTCAGCGGTCCAAAGGGCTTTCCTAAAGCCTCGTTGCCTTCGGGACCATCGCTTCCAGGGCGTGGATCAGGCGCAGCCGAAAGCAATGGTGCAGCCATCGCAACGGGAATCACCTGCTCAGCTTGCCCGATGAGATCCCCGCGTAGTTTGTTCAGAGCGTCTGTAAGGCTCTGAACACAAGAAGAACACGACAAGGCGAAAAGAGCTGGTTACATTCAGACCAGTCAAGCCAGACTTACTCCAATTCACACTTATTAGTGGAGTTGTAAATTAGGTCAACTTGTAATTACCATTAAAATCGAGTACTTTACTTATGCTAGATGTGAGTAGTAGTTGAGATTATCAGAAAATATTGAATGCGGTCTTGAATTATTGTAATAAACTCAACTATCACTTCTTAACTCACCTTAAGCGACATGAGCTGATTTCAGAGATTATTCAAGGTTTCTGATAGCCTCCAAAAATGCATGCGTGTCGCAATTAATACTAGTTCAACTATTGCGAAATTTAATTTAGTGTGAGTTATACATTAAAACAAAGCCGTATGTAGTATGAGCTAAATGACAATTCGTTATAAACAAGTTTACAAAAGGCAGCGGAGTAGAAGCGTCTGCTTGCATCCGACCGTTGCTCTTTCTATGTATGCATTGATGCTTGTCACACCATCAAGAGAAGACTGCTAAGTAGTGAATATTTGAGGCAAAAAAGAGACGCTTGTCGATTGCGTTAGAACAAAAATTTGATGTAACCAAAGGGAAGAAATGTGGTAATAGCAATTATAAAATAGGCAGAGATGTTGAAGTGCATAAATCAACGGTAGGGAATATTTAAAAACACGTAGCTGAAATAAAGCAAAAGGTAAAACGACAACAACAACTTAATGAGGCGCGGAAACCACTCATAGGTCAGCTTCATGGCAGCTCATATTTAGAAAAACAACGGCGACATTTAAAACACATTACTTTAGAATAAACCTTAAACAGGTGACTGCTCGAATAAGAGATAATGATGTTA